TATATATATATATATATACACACACACACCTATAGAGAGGGGAAACGCAATAGTCTAGCTATCTGCTTATCTCAGTGGCATATATGTAGAACTAGTATTTTAATTGTGTAAATAGTCAGCTATGGCTTGCGTTATTTGTATTACTGTTCTTGAAACTGAGCTAGTGTGTTGCATTTGCAGTATAATCATGCAAGCTTTACCAATTTGATGACATATGTCAGTATTAGGTTATATCCAAGCAACATTGACAGGGTTATTCACAAAAGGGTGAAGAGTTTGGAGAAGGCAGGAGAAGAATTTCAATTCAGCTATTTTGGCCTAGATTGTTTACTTCTCCTGCCTTCTCCAAACCCTTCACACTTTTGTGAATAGCCATGCTAGACTTACAAAAACCTTTGTGACTGAGTAGACATCATACAAAACTAGTATATAGTGTTACATTATTTATTTAATGTTGTGATTAATTTCAGCAGTTTGTTAGAACACCGTGTAAGCGATATATATTGCTTTCCTCTGCTATTAATTGCAGAAATGTTTGCTGGACCATAGTTTGCCGATGCAGTTATATTACATGCTGACTGTTGCCTTCTAATATGTCTTGAAGTTTCTCAATTCACTATTTTATACATATGTTTATTTTTAAAGTGAAGGCAAATATTTGGAGTTGCAGACTATCGATGATTGCATCTGCAACATTTGGGTCATATGCCAGTAGCATATATGTCTTTACGGAACGCACATAATTCATATTGCTCCCTTGGGAAATCTACAATACATTACGCTTCCCAGCTGTGATTTATCACTTTTATATCAATTCTGGCATCTAAAGCATGGATAAATCTGCTGCTTACTTTCCGCAACTGCTCTAATGTCATTTCATTATTGATTTAGTAATTTAACATGTGGAAAAATGAGTATGGTGCATAAGGGTCACATGCCATTTGGAGCTGTTAAGGGATAATGAATGCTTTTGTCACTGTATAACATTTTGTTAATATGGTTATAACTTACAGGGTCAGGCTTATGTCGATTCAGCTACTCAGATCCTGGAATTGTGGTGTCTTATGCCAAGAGCAATACTACTAGCTGGATTCCCCTTGAGAGAATCAGGTGTGTTCATAGATATCTATAACTTCTCTCTGATTTCTGGATTTTTGTGATGATTATAAATATTTTATAAACGATGCTTTTATGGCTGGTGTTAAATTGTGCTGTACAATAGTTACTTCATACCCTGAACTCAGTGGTCAAAACTATTTTTATATAGGTTTAATTGCATATTTTTGTTACACTTTAACCAATGATTGCTCAAAAATGCTTAGATAATCCCTCATAAATAAACAAATTGGCATTAGTTTCTAGTTTAACATCTGTTTCAAAGCATTTTCCATTGCTTCTTTGCTGCTTTTCTCACAGCATTTCATACTTTTATAAATTGTTTGAAAAACTAGAAAAGAGAGATGGCAGTGAAATCTGGTTAGATGAAATTGTAGATTTTGCTGGCAGCTTTATGAATAGATTACCATACTGATAAATCCTGCAGATTGCAAACTTGCTTCAATGACTTAGCAAGGATTTAACAAGGGCAACATCATCACCAGTGTGAAAACATATACATCTATATTTAAATGGACAGGAGTTATCCTATAACATGAACTATAGCAATGTACTCCTCATGTGGGTAATAAATACTGGGAGCTGTAGGGGATCTAAGCTAATTTGATGAGGGGGCTGTAAAGTTACCCTCCACCTTTCTCTATATTGTGATGAACTTAATATTCTAAGGCAGTAGAATAATAATCATCTCTAATAATGTATTTTGGCAGATTTATTATACAGGCTTTGTAGACACCTGGTAAGGGTCAAATTATACCTTCACATACAATAATAAAGTGGACTTGTTGCATGATAAAGACTAAAGTTATTAAAATTATAACAGCCTTGAACAGCAAGCATCTCATGGCACCTCCTGGTATCTTAAAGGAGAACTATGAGGAGAGTGAAAATCACTCAGCCTCATAGTTCTAGCCGACCTATGACAATGAAACTGTCACAGGTCGGCTCAATAGATCAGGAAGTGATCGAACACATACCGTTGCTGGCTCACTTCTCTATCCTGTCTCTGCAGAGAGCCGTGAATGTCACGGCTCCCTGCAGGGATTCCCCCCCTCCCCTGTCCCATCCTCCAGCGCTGACTGGCGGAACGGACGTGGAGGGGGCGGGTACAGCTGTCTCTGCCTCTAGATAGGCAGAGCCAGCTGTCACTCACGCAGCTGGGTGGATCTCAACAGCAATGTCGGGATCCGTCCCGGCTGTGGCGTCTCAGTATACCGCGAGCTGTACATTGCGGTATACTGAGCTTTGGGTGACCCTTAGGATAACTATGGCAGAAAGCCCTGACCCCATTGTTCTGCTTTAAGAACCCTGCATAGTCTGTTCTGTTCACCAAGGGAGCCCTTGAAACCTAAGCACACTTCTTTTCTCACTGGTGATTCTGCCATACTCTCCACCATCACTCTCTTGCAGGAACCTCAGTGGTTAGAACAGAGATGTTTGAACTTGGTTACCATGGTAATAAAGTGACAGAACATTGTACAAATCTTATAGTACTAGGAGGCACCTTGAGGGCTCTTCTTTTTAGGCATAGTCTCATCTTAATAGATTTTAATCACTCAAAAACTTCACTTTGAAATGTTCAGTAATGGATAGAAATTCAAATTTAAACAGTCAGCAGCAAAAGTGGTCCGTGAGTGCATAATGAAATGAAAAAAGTATCTGATAATTCATCTGATTATATGACCACCATTAATACCATCTACTATAGAGACGATTGGACATTTATATTTCAGTAGTACAGGCACTTCTGCCAAACCATAAAGCCTTGAGCAGGGTTAGGTTCAGTAGCAGTGCAGTAGCAATGTTCAGTCATTACAGAACGTTGTATACAGGGAACTTTACTGGCAGAATCAACACATATTCAGACTTTTTAGGGAGACTAAGGAAAACATGATAAGTGAAGATGCACTTACAATTAGGTGCTGCAGCACATATTTTTTTTTCTATATTAGGTCATATTCCTACTTTAAGGAAAGAGTAATTTTATGTGCATGGATAGGACAAAAGTCTGCATTATAGGTTGCACAGATGTTCAGACGTGCTTCAAAAATCAATTAAAACTTAGTATTTTACTTCCTATTTTGTCTAAAAACATGAAAAATTTATCCATTGATGTCATAAAGACTGGCATTTGGTATAAGACTGACATTAGGAGTAGCCTAAAGTATAGCCCTATAGAGGCAAACCCAGTGCTGCTTTGGTGCAAGGGCATACAACAAATTGAGTAATCTCTATGGGCCCTCTCCCTAAACAGTAAACTCCTCATCCTGTCCTGCACTTGCCTGACACTGACAGGGAGGAAGAAGGGGATCCAGGCATAACATGCCACACAGCCACACCGCACAAGGAGCAGAAATGCTGGGGGCACAGATGGACACCAAGGGATGCCTTCATTCTTGGTCAGGCCCCCCTCTGCCTCATACCCCATAGCAACTGAGTGGGTCACTATGGCAGTAGTTCCGCCACTGTCACAAACATATTCACAACACAGTAATGTACTTGGGTTTAATTAAAGGTAGAACTTTTTAAGGAGTAGTACAGAAGATTGTTAAAAGAACATCTCAAGCAGCGTGATTGGCACGGAAGGCAGGGGGTTACATGGGGGATGCAAAACACATAGCTATACAGTCTTTCATATGTAAGGCTCTGAGTGACATTAGGGAGAGTAAGTACGTCAACTAGAAGAGGCATATAGTAAGTGAATTACACTCATCCCCATAGTTAGAGCCGATGTATGACAATAAAACTGTAACAAGTCGGCTCTATTGATCGGGAAGTGAGCGAAAACATACCGCCGCTTGCACATGATCTCCTTGCAGAGAATAGGGACTGTCAGTCACCGCTTCCCGCAGGGATTCCCTCCTCTCCGATCTTTCAGCGCTGACTAGTGGGATGGACAGGGGGAGTGGGCAGGCAAAGCCCGCTGTCAATCAGTCAGTGGTGTGGATCTCGACAGTATTGTTGGGATCTGTCCCTGCTGCGGCGTTTGCATGCTATATGCTGAATTTTGGATAACGGGAAGACGTTAGTATATGTCCTCCCGTGGCCCTAAAGATAACTATGGGAAAGAAATGTTACCCCATGGTTCTCTTTTTCTCTTTTAACAGCTTCCAAGCTTGAAGTGGCCTTAGCAATTGTTAATTTAGTAGCAGAAAAGATGTGAAGGACAACTTTATCCTCTGCTAAAAATAGAGTAGGGATGGGCTTATTGAGATGCGCTTTATATGGGTTTCTACAAAGATTTATGTGAAGTAATTTGACTTGGTATCAGCTTCTTGCAGTCCCTGCACAGCAGCAGTCAGACTGAAGGATGGGATGGAGGAGAACAAGCACGTGGAGCCAAGCAGTTGTTCTGCAGTGCAAGAAATATGCTGATAGTAGGAGAGAGCAGAGTGACAAAGATATGAGCTCATCAGTTTTCTTTCACTGTACGGTCACATAGTGGGGGTAGGAAGGAGACCTTTAAGTGTTACTGATTTATTGAAGAGAAAAAAAAACAGGTCTTCTCCCCTGCAGAGCAGGGCTGTGCTGTGTGACAAGACTGTGTAAATGTCATAATTACAGTAGATGAACAAAATTACAAATCTTTTTACAGGTAAAACAGTTCCTTTATTTGTATTTAGGATGTGCATTTAGTTGTTGGCATAGAGTTCAGCTTTAATATATTGGAATACAGCACTTTGAATTTTAAGCTGAATGGGAGGTAAAGTTACTATGCTTAACCTGTTCAGTCATTGTTGGACACGTATCCTTTGCAATCTTTAGTACTTAATCATTTAAATAATGTGCCGTATCATATTTATCTTTTACTTCCAGTGCACCTTCAAATGTTAGCACAATTATCCACATTATCTACCTCCCTCATGAAGCCAAAGGGGAAAATGTGAGGTTTCGGTGGGCACAGGAGAGCACACAGGCTGGAGATGTGTATGAGGCATGCTGGGCACTTGACAACATACTGATCATCAATGCTGCGTATAAGCAGGTTGTGTTAGAAGATAACCTTGACCCAATGGACACTGGGAACTGGCTTTTCTTTCCTGGAGCGACTGTCAAGGTTTGTTCTCTTTTTCTTTAATGTACTGTTCTGCCAGTAGGCACTGTCTGATAATATAGTTAGTAACAGTAGCAAAGTGACATCTGGCAACATTCACAAAGTACTCCATCTGTTTAAGGCACACAGTGGTTATTGTTAAGGTTGTAGGTCAGTAGATAAATATGTAATTTAAAAGGTGCAGATTACTGGCTCAAGATTGTGATAAAGGAACTGAATTTACTAAGTTAAAGTAAAAGAAATCTCACAAAAGCTTGCCAGTTTAAAAAAGTGTACAGCTGGAACAGTGGTATTATAAGCACAATTCCTGTGAACGTTTTAAGTCAGCCGGCTCATGGAATAGATAGTAGTTAGTCACAATTATCTAAACTTGTTTTGTAATTTTGAAGACCTTTTTATAACTCATCGAAAAGGTTTCCTCAGTTCCTAAGACGTTTTAGCCACAGTGCTTTCAGATATTTATAGCAATTGGTTACTGAGCAAAGTTCTCACTAGGTTCTAGGAAGCAAGTACCATACTTAATCCATTTCCGATCACCTCAGAGTTCCACGGGACAGCTCTTTGCTCTTTGTTTTTGGTCTGGCACCCTGCACAGTTGGGCATCACACAATGTGCAGGAGCTCATGCACACACTGTGAAGGACAACCAGATGAATCAGCACTGACTATCCATTTGAAGAGATAGCACTCTCTCTGAGACACTAAAGGACCTGTTACCTAGCCTACCTTGGACAAAAGTACAGGTAAGTGTGCACTACGGATACACGAAGACAGAAGTAATTCCACATTTTAATAAAAGTATGACCTTGAAAATGGTGAACAAACTGACAGAGTTCATGAAGCACATGGTCTTTCTATGCTGTTAGGCTCCATGATAGCAGAGTATGGTTTTAATAATTTCTATTACTCTCTGCATGGGTAAATGAAGCTGAAAGTCATGAACTTATTGTATTTGATTAGCCATCACAGCAAATAATTATGGTCATTTCTATTAGAACTGCATCTACTAATATGTCTATCCATCTGTTTTTGACTGTGATAATGACCACATGTTCTGCTCTGTTTCTTTCAATGTATGTCCTGTCTGATTGCTCTTTCCCTGCCACGGAGAAACACATCAAGTTGTCCTTGACTTCAATACTTTGTGTTTTTAGGCAGTAAAATACTCATATAACATGCAGGTTATAACAATAGCCAGTAATTGAAGTATTTACTATAGAGCAAGGGTGCAGCAAAGATCAGACAGGCCTCAAAGCAAATGCAAATGAGTACTGTGACAACACACCACAATATCATCTTCCTTACCCATACAAATGTTTTATATGAACTAACACATTTGTGAGCATGAAAAAGTCTTCTAACTTCTAAGGGCACCTTGACCATGGTTTTGTTGATATAATGACAGGAAAATAGTGAATATGCATGAATTGGGGTCAGAACTGAATCCCCTGGGGTCATGGGCCTGCATTGCTGGTATAATGAATGTACTGTATCTGTCATTTTTTCTCAGCTCTTAACCATCTGTTTACCATTCCAGTTCTAAAATAATAGTCTGCGATGAACTATAATGAAAAGGGAAAAAATAGAGAGACAAGGGAAATATAATATAATGAAAATGTGGAGTACTGAAATACCTACTGTTTTTGTATTTACCACTGGGCTTAATTATTTACATGTTTTTTCATGTATTTATATTATAATAAAAACAATAGCAAAGCCTATCCACCATATAAAAACAGCACATTTTTATTTGGATCATAGATGCTGACGATGTTAATACAAGTTCTAAAGATGAAAGATGACTGGCACACTTGACAGCATCTCTTTTTTTCCTCACTCATTATAATTGTTCAGACGTCTACAATCCCACATGCAGACTGACAGAGACTAAGAGAACAGTGTTTCATTTAGAGGCTGCCTCCCAGTGTACTTGTCACAATCAGCTAGATTATTGTAGTATGCAGGTTTGAAGATGAGCCAATTAAATCCTGTGCTGACATATCGGAAGGTTGACATAATAAAGCACACTTGGTTCTTTGCATCCTGTCTCCTGTTTGTCACATTCATTTTTTTCAGAACTAGTAATTATTAACACAGTTGGATTTGAGTTATTTTGTTTGAGTTGGAATTTAATTTTGTTTAACGAGGGGAGCAGTCTGGAATGCTAAAGGTTATGGCATAATGTTAAGCTGTTTAAATCTGTATTTGTCTCATCTGTTAAAAGGTTTCAGGATTCAGTTTTAATTCATGTAACATACACATTCTTAAATCCAAACTTCATACAAAAATACATGAATGTCAAAATACATAACATGCAGCTCTTTATTGATTAACAAAGCAATAAAGGTATTTTTAAATGCAGCTAGTGCAAGTACCTGCATTTGAATGGGAGTTGATGAGCTTTACTCACCTTTTCAGGCCTGATACTTTAGTAGTTGCTGCCGTGTTACCTGCCTAATCTTAGACACTGTACCTTCAGAAGATAGGAGACAGCGAGTGAGATCAGTCTTCTGGTAGTCCAGCAATTTTCAGACTTCAAGTGACCTGTGAATACATCAGCAATAGCATTTCCAATATTTCCATCCAAATCAGGGCCGGTGCAATGATTTTTGCCAACTCAGGCGAAGGTGCATTTTGCGCCCCCCCCCCGGCACGCACACACACACCACTCCAACATCCCCATACAGCATACATTATATCTGTGCTCCATTAAGCTTTTAAAGTGATCGTTTAACTTATTTATCTTTTGCAGAGAAAGATAGCAAACAAACTATTTGTGGTTTTTTAAAGTGCACAAATCCCAGCAATAACACATTATATAAAACGCAATGCAGAATACAGATTCGTGGGACGTTCACGGACGTATCGGCCCATTCCCGGGAAGGACAGGCTGCTGCGTGTGATTTGTAGGCAGCAGTCTGTTCTTCTCTATTGGAGGACACGGCCATACGCTCAACTGAACTGCACATTTGCACGGGTGCGGATGTCCATACTAATATGCAGATAGGATGGATCCTATCTGCATCCGAGCACAGACACCTGCACCCACACGGATGTGTATGGGACAACTCTAAGCAGTGTGAATGAGGCCTTAGTGTTGCAGGGAAGCCGGGGTCTCAGATGGGCTGTAAAGGATCTCTGGTGGGCTCTGCAGGGTGTCAGGCTGAGACCACCATAGACCCTGCACATCCCACCATAGATCTTGCACTGCCCACCTGAGTCCCTGCAATCCCCACCAGAGACCCCCCCAGTGCCAACCATAGACCTTGCACAGAGACTCTAAGGTGGGCTGCGCAGGATATATGATGGGCTGTGGAGTGTCCCTTTCCCTGCACGCATGCTGTTCCTCTTACCTGCAGCTCCCCAGCCTGCTTTCAGGACATGCCTCTTCTTCCTCCAGCCACCAAAGCATCTTGGTGGAGCCTCCGCTGGCCGGGGACGCGTCTCCCATGGTCCCATCTTCTATGCCCCATATCATCCTGTGCCTCCATGTTATCCTGTGCCTTCATGCCATCCTGTGCCCCATATCATCCTGTGCCTCCATGTTATCCTGTTTCTTCATGTCATCCTGTGTCTCCATGCCATCCTGTGTCTCCATGCCATCCTGTGCCCCCATGTCATCATATGCCCCCATGTCATCATATGCCCCCATGTCATTCTATGCGCCCATGCCATCCTGTGCCCCCGTGTCATCCTGTGTCTTCATGTCATTCTGTGCCCCCATGTCATCCTGTGTCTCCATGCCATCCTGTGCCCCCATGTCATCCTGTGCCCTCATGTCATTCTGTGCCCCCGTGTCATTCTGTGCCCCATGTCATCCTATGCCCCAATGTCATCCTGTGTCTCCATGCCATCCTGTGCCCTCATGTCATCCTGCACCCCATGTCATTCTATGCCCCCATGCCATCCTGTGCCCCCATGTTATCCTGTGTCTTCATGTCATCCTGTGCCTTCATGCCATCCTGTGCCCTCATGTCATCCTGTGCCCCATATCATCCTGTGCCTCCATGTTATCCTGTTTCTTCGTCATCCTGTGTCTCCATGCCATCCTGTGCCCCCATGTCATCAGAACCCCATGTCATCATATGCCCCCATGTCATTCTGTGCCCCCACACCATCCTGTGCCCCCGTGTCATCCTATGTCTTCATGTCATTCTGTTTACGTCACTCACTGACGTAGCCAAGAACGAGTCAGTGAGACTGTCACTGAGACTGCACAGGTCAGCGCCGCTGCGGCCGGCGGGGACTCGTCCTTCAGATGCCGCCCGCAGCGGCAGCCCACACTGGTCTCGATCGGACGGCCGGAGCCAGACTTATGCCGGGTGGCCGACTGTCAATTTTCCGCCCTGTTCCCTGGCGCCGTGCGGCAAGTGCCCATGTTGCCTTGCGCTAGCGCCGGCCCTGATCCAAATAGATTACTTTTAAAGTATATCGCAACCTAGAACAAGTATTGTATATATTGCAGCTCACCAGTCTTTAGATTAAGTGGCTGTATTTGGGGGGTTTTCCAAGCTTTAATAGCCTGGCTGCCCCTGAGTCTAATACTTTAATACATAATTTCTATGATTTAACCTTTATTTTATTAAATACATTGTTAAAGGGGAATTGGCAGCCATTTTCTTAGTTTTGGATAGAGTAAGGAGGGGTTAGAGCCTTTGTTAGATTGTTTTTGCTGTCTGTGGCCTCACTTTGGAGATTCAACTTTTCTATAACAGAAAGTGATGTAATGTTCAATATGTTATGGTTGTCTCTGGAACAAAAGGTGAAGGAAAATCTTTCAATGGGGACACCTATTACAGTGACAAATATCTAAGACCCCATTCACATTGAGCAATTTGTAGCGTGTTTTCCGCTCACACATCGCTGAAACATAAAGCTCAATGTAGCTCCTCCGATGCATTTCATTGGAGCTGTACACATCTCACAGGTCAATGTCGCCTGTAGCTTGTAGCTCAAGCTTGTCGCTTGAACATGTCATATTTTTCAGTGGATTTTGTGCGATTT